GACGTGAGAGCCGCACGCCCGGTGAGTGTGCCAGAGCACCTGGTCAGGGCAGACAAGGCGCATATGGAGGGGGTGTGGGCAGGGCGGGCCTGAGGGCACCCGCGGCACTGCCCAGGCTCCACCTCTGCCCCATGACGCGTCCACCGTGAGGTCACCTCACCCACCCCGAGGACCTGCCCAGCAGCACAGGCCCTGATGACGGGGACAGAAGAGGTGCCCTCAGGGACCAGGCACAGGCAGCGAACACCGACCAACAGATGGAGAGTGTCCCTGGGAGTGTCCCCGGGCGTCCAGAGGGGGACGGGGCGTCCAGAGGGGGGAGGGGGTGTCCAGAGGGGATGGGATGTCCACAGGGGAACGGGATGTCCAGAGGGGGAGGGGGCGTCCAGCGGGGGAGGGGGCGTCCAGCGGGGAATGGGGTGTCCAGAGGGAGACAGAGCTTCCACAGGGGACGGGGCGTCCGGCAGGGAAGGAGGCCTTCAGAACCTCCCGCAGTCCCCATGCTGGCTCCAGCCGACCGTGTGTGCGTCTTTCACGTTGGTCTTCGCGGCTCTCCGGGCACAGCCGCAGCCCCTGGGGCGATGCAGGCGGCTGCCTGTTGTAATTTTCACGGACTCTTCGGTGGACCCGGCGCTGGCCAGTGAGGCAGCATCGGACGATCAAAGGCCCTGGGCTAAGGGCTCGCTCCTGTCTGCACCCGTCACCGCCCTGCCTGGCATCGGGGGCACCCGCGCGTGGTGCACACCCGTCAGCTGCCACGAGGAGGTAGAGAGGCCGCTTCCCCGGCTTCGGGCAGCGGTCTGAGCAAAGGCTTCACGGGCTGGAGGCCGCAGGTGTCCCTGTGCAAAGTGGATCGTCCTCCACGCGGGCTGACGGGCCGTGCCACCCCTGGGACGCCCAACGGCTTGGGATCGAGCAGACGGCCGAGTGCCAGATGTGCTGCTGTCCGTCAGGAGCAGGTCAACAGCCCCACCCAGGGCGTCGCGAGACCTGTTGTAGGGACGCGGACGCCATCACCCTCAACGGACCCGGGATCTCCAACACAAGCACTTCGGAACGTCAAATTTAAGATTAAAAACGGGATCCAACCCCGTGAATCTGTTAACCCTGAGGAGCAAACGGTAGTTGAAATCAGCAGTGAACCATCGACCGGAACCACGCTGATAGAAGACTCGTTAAGTGACTGTCACTGCACTTAATTACAGCACGGCGCTTGCAAGCTCGGGGTTCTCGGAAGAGGGTCCTCCAACGAGGACGGCTCGGGAGGCGCACACGCCCCCCGCCAGCATGCTGAGGGCCAGGAGGAAGGAGACCGCATGGTCAAGGCCGCCAGCGTGTGGAGGGCCAGGCCGCCCCGTCCACGTGACGTCACAACTTCCGTGTGAGAGATGCTGGCCACCCCCTGTGGGACGTCCTGGAGACAGAGGCGCTCGGTGTAGGAGGGTGTGCCCAGACACACAGTCACGTGCCCACGCACACACGCGCACACTCGCACCAGGGCTCTCCCACATACTCTGGAGCGCTGTGCTTGGCTGGGAAGGTTCGTTGCCGGCCGGCGGCAGGGACACATGCATCCTTTTCTGCCTCGACAGGGTCCCACGCGTCTGTGGACGTGGTCATCACCAAAGCAGCTTTTTCATGTAAAATCATCGCGCTTCCGTCCCGATCCACAGGTGCCTGATGCCCACAGACTAAACACGCGTCTGACAGGCGTGTGCACGCAGACAGGGAGCATGGCTGAGCCGAGCGCGGACGTGAGCCCGGGCCTCCGCGGAGGGACGCGAGCTGCCACGGCCATGTGGTGGGCGCGTGGGCAGAGAGGCCGAGGGGCGCCTTCCCTGCCCTGCCCGTCCGCTCGCCGGGGCCTTGCTGTGGCCGCGCACGGAGAACCCGCACACGACTCCTTTCAAGGCCGTTCCTGCTGATGCGGCTTAATCCCGCAGAGACGCCTGTCCTCTCTGCACTGAAGAGCTCTTCCTGTGTGCACGCACGAGCGTCCCCAGAGGAGCGCCGTTCGGTCGGGACGGCAGCAGCCGTGGCCACCGAAGTTCTCGCCTCCTTGTGGGGAGGGCGCCTTCGGGCCTCGGCCGATTTCGTGAGCTTTAATGAGAAACCCCTACTCCGTGCTGGACTCGAATCTGTGTTTTTGTAACAGAAAACATAAAAGTAACATCAGAGGCTGATTAAGGGGCAAATTTTGCCCCTCGGTGTTCCGTTCCGTGACACCTAACGCAGCAAGACCTAAATGAGTCTTTGGCCGAAACGGTCTCTCGTGCGGCTGAGGCGGGTCGGTGGCGTGCGGAGGGCCCGGTGGCACTCGGGCGGTTTGGAAATGACAGGTTAGAGCCCCTCCGGGACCCACGCTGGCACTGCTGATTGCACGCGGGCGCAGCGGACTGTGGGTATAACTTCCCCTTTTAAAAACATGCTACTTCAGTGAAAATGGGAATACTTAAGGTTTAGCTTGGGAGATAAACATCTATTATTTAAAACACGAAGGTCATTTTAAGAAAGTAATTTAAATACTTCACGTGCTCCGCTGCGTGGGTTTTCTGCCTCCGGCACGTTTTAGTATCTGTAAAACGCTATTTATAAAATTACCTGTCATAACAATGGCCTCTCTTTGCTTCAACTAAACTAAACAAAATGCATTATTCCGTTTTCAAGGTATGAGAGCCGCTAAGTTTTCTACACGTGCATGTTTGTTTTTAGGTCCTGTGCTACCTCAGCACTTGTGGGGCAGTGACAGGCGGGTGACAAGTGGGGCAAGTCCTCTCGCGCTGCCACTCGCACTCGGGCAGGTGGGGCCAAGCGAGCCGCTCGCGCAGAACCATCCGTCCGAAGGGAAATTTACGTCCACCTGGGTGTTAGATCCGAATCTTCACATGACGCCCCAAAGAGGAGCCGTGTGGAGAGGGAGACCCGGCCCCCAAACGGGATTCACTTATTACCCCACGCTTCTGGCCACCATGCTACCCTGTGAGCCTGCGGGGTGTGAGCACGGCTGTCACACGGGATCCCGAATCCTCACGGCCTGCACCCGCGCTGCTCCCCCCACCCCCAAGGGTGTCCTACATACATCCACACAAATTCCTGCCAAATAACGGGAAGGAAAATCCCACGTGTCTGCTCGCCGGCACCATCACTGGACACGGGAGGGGACGGCGCTATACCGACCACGGCGGGGCCTGGGGATCGGCCGTCACGCCAACTCACATCTGTGACCACCACGGCACACAAATGGCCGGTGCCGTCAGACGCCGACCCCCCACTCCCGGAGGCCGCGTTAAGGGGAGCGGGAAACGAGAAAACCACGAATGAGAACGGAACCACCGCGTAAGACGTGGGGCCGAGGTTGGCGGAAGCCCCGACTGAGCACACGTGACGGGTCCACACAGGCCTGTTCTCTCCCAGCAGCCGGCCCCACCTCTCTCGGCCAGGCCGGCAGAGCTATCTCTGAGCTGTGCCTCTGCTGAAAAGTTAAGTGTGCGAGGGGCCGCAGCCTCCCTGCCTCACCACGATGCCTGGGATAAAGCTGCCAGATAAAGACAGTATGGACCTCAAGAGGCTGGCGGTGTTGTGCGTGCACGAGTATACACACTCAGAAGCACGTGTCTCGCAAGACGGCGTGAGCACATGCAGACGCGTGCTTGTGGGGAGGCATGAGCAGGTGTGCCGGGTGTGGGTAGAGAGGGTGGCTGTCCTGTGGAGAAGCGGGTGGGGCAGGACGAGGTGAGGGCCCAAGTGCAGGCCCCACCCTCCCTCACAGCCCCCAAACACCTGCAGGAAATCCAGGCAGACTTCCCGCAGGCAACGCCACAGGTCATTTTCAACAGCTTTACTGAGGCAACGTTTTCCACGACATAAAATTGACCCGTTTTAACCACGTAATGTAAGACTTGTAGTCTCTCCTGGAAAAAAGCTCAGGGACACAAGGAAAGCAGCTAAAACAGGCTGTTTTCTGATGTTGTTAACGTCGGCACCACACTGCCTTCTCGGGAAGGGCCAAGGGAGACTCGGTTACCATGAGGACCGTGTACCGCACCGGGTCTCTCGGAGCCGCTGCCCGCAGTGGCCCTGAGCGGGGGGGGGGGCACACGGCACCTCGTCGCCGCGAGGCCCAGCTTCTCGGAGGGCAGAAACGCCTGAGGTCGTGGGGTCAGATGTCCGTCACCTGTGGCTGTGTCCACACGCTCTTGGGTCCATCTGTCCCTGTCTGCAGGGGACCAGGGAAGTGATTAGCAGGTGTGACCAGCCAGGCAGGGCCAGGAGTGGCTGCACCGTGTGTCCCAGACGCGGGCCCTCCCTTCTCTCCGAAGATTGGAAAGTGCCGGCCCCTTGGCTGGCCGCAGCGAGGTCCAGAAGGACCTAGAGTCACAGACAAAAGTGGGTCCTGGCACACATCCGAGGGAGACAGAAGACAGAGGATTGTGGCTCTCACCGGAAAATCAATCACGTGTGAGTCTAACGTCTTCACAAAAGCAGCCGTGCCATCAGAGGGCGACAGAGGATGGAACGGAGGGGGGGCGCTCAGGCAGGAGCAGAACCTCTGACAGACCACGGCAGCCCGCCCAGCTGTCCCCGGGCCCCAGGCCCCCCCAGGGGCTTTGGTCTCCGTCCGTCTCTGTCCCCTTTCCTCGCCGCCATGCCCAGGGTGACCGTGCCGGAGGACCTGGCTGCGGGGTCTGGGGTGGGTGTGGGGTGTGGCCAGCAGACTCCATGGGAGGCAGGAGGTGGGACACCAGCGAATGGTGCCACGTGAGGCTGCGCACACCGTCCTGGGGCCACGTCTGAAGAACCGGCAATCGGAGCAAAGAGCATCCACGGCGG